AAAAAACAGCGCAATGTCGCACACAACCGGACATGACTGCCGGAGAGTCAACTGGATTTCGAAAGCTCAAAAACTTCAAGGTTGACAGGCATGCTGGAGCTAGGAGGCTTGCTGGTTGAAGCACGAATACGGAAATGGGGAGATCCAACACACAAGCAACAAAGTTGTGTCCTTACGGGCTGCGCTGTTGCAGGCAAGGGGTTTAAAACATGAAGTGTCCTAAAACAATGTTTGTTGATATCGTAGTCTGAGGACACTTTCAACCTCAAAAACCATCTGACGAGTAGTACACTGAGCGTGTTTTGCTTGCCCCTTCTTGCATTCGCGGACGTTGCGCGTTGTGCGCAACACCAACAGAATAGCAGAAACACATAGCCTGCGTTCAGAATTATGTCTGCGTATAAATCCCAATTGAAAACAGGCTCGCGCTGGGGGGGCTGTTCTCCTAAAAGTTGATGCACGCCGTATATGAAAGTGGCTCTGGAGCAGGGCTATGGGCACCTGCTGATGCGCTTTACTAAGAAGCTGTCCGCTGTGCAGAGCACGAAGGTGTAGCCCCACTCACTCAAACCACAACAATTGCAAGCACTTTTGTTTGTCCGCATGGGGGAGAGCACTGAAACACGCTACTCCGAAATATATAGGCTTATGGAAATGTAGGATAGAACAACTACTGTAGAAGAGCTTGAATGGTTCATGTTTTCACTTTCTGTGTGTTCTGGAAACCTTGGGTTTGCGCACAGTGCTGAAAGCTTTTACTTGCGACACAGCCAAGAAAGCTGCAATCACGGGATGAAGCGCACAGCCTTCGAAGCCAACCGCGGTTCTTTGTGGAGCTGGGAGCAACCATGTTCCCAAGTAAATCAACCGCGCCATGCGCACGTAAATCAATCGATTCACGGGGAGCTCAAGCGAGGCAAGACCATGTCTCAAGTAATACACATTGTTCAGAAACATGTTCCCACTACTCAATGCTAAAGAAAAATGTTTGGACTCAGGAAAAATGCGTTCGAGGCAGCTCGCGAAACATACCAGAAAAAATACTGAAAAATACTGCTTTTTTTTACTAGTTTCGAAATTTACATTTACTACTAAATTTATTTACTAGTAAATTTACTTTACTTGGCCTAGTAAAATGAGATTAGTAAATAGTAAATTTTAGAGTAAATCGCTGCCATACTAAATTTACTACTTTTGCAGACTCAGGGCAATGTTCACGACACTCCGGACACTTCTCGCACTACAAATGTCACGACCAAACTGGATAGCGCAACTAGGCGACGTCTCTACAGCATTTCTACACACACCCATCGCAAAAGACCACGACGGTAAACAACGTGACGTCTACCTTTGGCCACCTAAAGAACTTTGTCCGCAACAGGACAAAATCTGGCGACTAAAGAAAGCCATGTATGGACTACGCAGTTCACCAAAAGCATGGCAGGACTACCTGGCTGAAGTGTTACAAAAGCTCAGCTTTGTAAGACTACAGTCAGAACCTAACGTCTACACCAATGCAACCATGGTCTACGCGGATGATCTCTTGGTACTTGGTGACAAGACTACTGTCGACTCCACCTTCGAGGCCATCCAGAAGCAGGTCCTACTCAAGCACATCGGCTACCTCGAACCTGGCAAACCACAACAATTTCTTGGAAGAAACATCGACCACTTCGGCAACTACTGCAATCTTGGACTAAAGGACTCCTACATCGACAACATGATCGAGGAGTCTGGAATGAACAACTGCAACCCAGTGAACACTCCAGGAATTGCACACTACAAACCGACAATAGAAGATGAAGCACTACTTGACCACGAACAACACAAAAGGTACAGAAGGATTGTTGGCAAACTACAATGGTTAGCATACACACGACCAGACATCGCATACTCCACAAAAGAACTAGCACGAGACCTCACAGCACCTACAGAACTCTCACAAAAGAGAGTCAAACATCTACTACGCTACTTGAACGGCACCAAGCACTACAAATTCACCATAGAACCAACAACAACACTCAGAGCAAACACTAACAACATCCTGGATCTCGACGTTCATGTCGATGCCGACTGGGCAGGATGCCCTACTACCAGGAAATCAACTTCAGGTTTCAACATCATCTTTTTAGGAACAACAGTTGCATTTGGCAGCAGAACACAAGCTACAATAGCACTCAGCTCAGCAGAGTCTGAACTCTACGCCATTTGCACAGGAGTCAATGAGGGACTACACCTCAGAAACTTCCTACTTGAAACCAACATTTGCAGCAAGCTAAATCTACGCATCCACACAGACTCCACAGCAGGCAAGAGCATTGCTACACGACAAGGCACTAGCAAACGAGCAAAACACATCGACCTTAAATTTCTCTACACACAAGACCTCATCAAGCACGACATCATCAGAATTCTCAAAATCAACACACTACACAACAGCTCAGACTTGTTCACAAAATACATTAGCAAAGAAACACTACAGAGGCTCATACAGAGCATTGGCATACGTGTTTAGCACTACGAACAACAACTGTTTCACAACTGTTGCACATCAATCACAACAGTTTGTATATGGCCATATGTAACTACCTGCATTTAAGTAACAGTAACAGTAACAGTGACTACAAGTAATAGTAATTGTAACCACCAGTAATTTGCACTTGCACTTTTGGCGGCTTTTGGCGGCTTGAGTCAACACTACATGTTGTTTTGTGTTTTACTACATGCCCGCATGTGCTTTTGTGAGCTAACATTGGCTCACTACTGTCTGTTTCACTGCATCTACTAGGCGAACTGCTTGCAATGGCTGGAACTGGCTCACTATGTCTGCCCCGTTTCATGTCATGCCCCGACTACTACATCAGCGCCAGAGAACTACTCTGCCCGATGCGACTACGCTGGATGTCATGCCGATGGAGGTTACTACATCAGCGCCAGAGACTACTCTGCCCGTCGAACAACAGGCTGGCAGTACTACACCGGACCGTGTTTTCACACCACCGGATCGGCAGGGCACTACCGACTCCGGCAGCATGGCTACTTTGGCCACTCCACCACCTGAGGCCTACAACTCCCTCAACTACAACTTCAATCACCAACTACCCACACCGGCACCTTTCTACAGACCCGACGACATCTTGGCACACCTCACTACAACTGAGAACAACATCCCCGACACTCCAGCGATCGACCCGGAGCAGAACTACTTCAGGGTCTACGCGGCTTTGACGCTCGAGGAGTTCCAACTACTAAGTCAACAACAAACTACACCCATCCCCGAGCTCAACTTCAACCTACCAGTTCACGACCTACCTTCAGACCTACGGATGCCACACTACGACTCACTACCTCTTCACCTACGTCTTTCAGAGGCAGTCAACTTCTACTACTACAACCTTACATCACTACACCTCACAACCCAGTACACCAACTCGATGGTCATCATCCAACTACACATTCCACCAGAAGTTCTACTACGATTTGTCAGCGCTGGACAACTCGTCAACTTCTGCCGCGACTACGTGAGCCACATGATTTCCATCAAAGATGAGCACCACCTACCCACACGCCAGCTACATCAACGACTACACCGAATCACCTACAACTTGGACCAGATCACCACTACATTCAACCTGTCCAACAACTTCATTTGGAACTATCACGTGCCCCTGTACCTACCAGAACTACTCAACTATTTCGACCAACCACAACAACTTCAAGACCACCACTACAAGTCCATCAACACGATGCTACACAAAAGTGTCACCTACTACGGCATCACCCTCCTCACGGCTACAAATCTTTCCATGCAACACAAACTACTACTCCACAACTACCTCACTACCACCGGCCAAGCACTTGCACCACCGGAATGCGACTACAACCGCCTTCGTGGCGGTCCAGACTTCCTCAACACATTCACTACCAACCACTATGCAGGCTTGGACTACCGCATCAGCCAAGTCCAGAACTACCGAGTCCAACACTGGACTAAGCACACCTGATCTCCAGGTGGAGCTGCAACTACGTGCTGTACTACGTCATCGTACTACGAGATGACTGAGAACCAACTAGGGTTCTTGTACAGCAATTTCACTTTTCTGATCATTTGAAGGTTAGTTGAACTACAGACAGCAGCGCTGTAGATACCTACCTTCGGTCATCTTTTTTAAGAGACTACATGCCTGTTCGCTACAGTAGCATCGGCAAACAACATGTGCATTCGTTTTTGCCACTACTGTCAATACCACCTTTTGGGTCTATGGTTAAAGGACACTACAAGGTCTTTTAACCAAGGGGCCGTGTCAAATATCATGTTGCACTACTTGTCACTTGTGCATGCATGATGTACACTACCCGACTGCAGGCCTTGAGTCTACCAGGAAAAGAGTGCATGCTGGCTGACTACATTTGTGTTTGTGATAACCCAACAACACTTGCACTAGAAGTAAAGTATCAACGTATTTTAACGAGAGAGAGAGAGAGAGAGACAAAGAGAGACGAACAAAGACCCAGAGAGGCACAAAGACGCAGACAAACGGACAGGCAGGCGGACAGACAGACAGAGAGAGACGCAGAGACACAGAGAGACAGAGAGACAGAGAGACAGAGAGACAGAGAAACAAACAGTCAGACAGAGAGAGAGATAGAGAGAGAGAGAGAGAGAATGAGGCTGATCGAGACAGAGGCAGCGAGACACAGACAGAGAGACCGGGAGACAGACAGCCAGACAGAAAGACAAACCGACATGCATGCAGACAGGCACACAGACACACTGACACAAAGGCACACAGAGCTACTGCCTAGCTAAGCAACTTACGTGCGTACATATTTGGGTGTGGCTCAAAAAAAAGGGGCCCAACATGAAACCCTGGAAGATTGGAAAAAGCTGCGTAACCCCAGGTCCTGTTCAATTTTGAGCCACACCCATTTGTGTTTTGATCCAGGGTTTTAGGGGTTGGCTCGTGGTTTGTATCGGCCAATGGGCTGAACCCAGTGAGGATGAGCTGCAGCACTGGCAGCAGGTGGCCGGCGCCTGAGATCTTTTCCTCGAGGCGGAAGTAGCCCTCCTAGGTCCCCCAGCTAGGTGCCAACTTTTACCGTTTCTTTTTTTGTGGGAGGGTTCCCCTACTAAAATTGACTACAGAGAAAAGGGTGCCCTTATTCTAACCTCTCTTCTGGAGGACCTAGCCTCAACGTGGATGGACAAAATCCACTTCTGCGGGATAGCAAGCAGGCTATGTGGTTTCTCTCGGTATTCACAGGGGCTTTATTCATCCCAAATGGTGTAGGCCTTTGTCCATCCGCAATAGCTCCAAGCTATATGGTGCGTATATACTGCCAGGTGCGACTTGTTTGGGGGTACTTCCCAGATTAGAAAACCCCATACACAGCCTTTACATGACTGGTGTACAGCCAACTCGGCATGGCTTCTCACTGAATATGTGTGCAACCCCTGGGGGTTGGTGTATCGGCGGGTGTTTGTAGGTACAGGGCTGGGTTGAGGAGTTGTCGAGGATTTTTTAGCGTGTAGGATTTGGCTTGGGGATTTTGGGGCTTAGCTTAAGATTGCATCCGCGGGATGTTCGCGCAACCTCGCCTTTCTGTAGGCAGAGGGACAGGCAGACCCACCGCATGCCCGGAGCCATCAACAGGCAGGATTGGGTTTGCATGAAGCGGAGGTGTGGGGTTTGCAAAGCCATTGCCGACAGTTGATTCACGAACTTTGGCAGTTCCCAGCCATGCCCTGAGACTTTAAGATGTTTAGAATCTTCATGCATTTACAATATATCATATGAAAGTTCATCTCTTGGCAAGGGATCAACGCGCTACTAAGTAGCAAGGTTGTGGAACAGATGTTTGCCCTTGATAGTTTGTGTTTTAAGGAAGACCAGAGACAAGGCTCGCTCATTCGTCCAAGTGTGGCGGACAATGATATGGAACATCGGGTTTCTGTTGTGAATCCTCAAAGTAGATGGGGATAAGAATCAGCTTCGAAACGGTTATTTTCTCCAATGCTCTCGCAACTCTGAAGGCCTTTTTGACCTGGTGGGCAACATGAACAACCCCCAAGGGCGTCCATGATCGGGTCTTGTCTTCATGGTGCCACGCCCTTAGCATGAAACGCAAGTGGTTCCACTGCAGCAGCAGCATGTTAGCTCCGACCTATGCCTATTTCCTCAATGTCCCGCTGTTGTTGAACAGTATTAGGGGGATATTTGGCGGGCGCATTTAGTGAGATACTGCCGTGAAGCCAGTTTTTTTGTGATGGTGAGATCCTGTCAGCCCATGCTTTGCTGGAACAGCGTCAACGTCGTCCGTCGTCCTGCGTCAAAGAGTGATTGGTTGTATCACTCGATGCCATGGCGAGGTTCTACTGCATTTTATCCTCAAATCCAGGGACAACCTGAACTAGAATTACTACCTTTGCCAGCAATCACGGAAGTGAAACACTGGTATTTTCAGATGAGTGCCGTCTTCCAACCCTGCGCTGGCCACTTTCATTGTTAGAAATATGGCAACTTGCCCAGAAATTGGTCTATCAAAATAGATGGACTTGGTCTATCAAAATAGATGGACCCCCAAAATGCAGTCCTTTAAATTTCCCTACCACGGTGAAACACAGACCCTCAACGCACGCAACTCATACGCTTCTTCGGAACACCCAAGCACCCCGCCAAGAATGGTCTATGCCTGGAACATGTTTCAAGATTAGATCCTGGAGGGGACATGTTTCCAAGATTGGGTTTCAATTGAACGGTCGTTTGCTTCAAGTGGCCGTTTCAAGATTGTCGGACAACTGTCAAGTTTCGAAAAGGTATGCAGTACCTCAGCAGCAACCCCTTTTCCGCGAACTCTGCCCTTGCTTGTGACCGAAAGCTGCAGTCTCCAACCCCTAGTGCTTCTTCTTAGTCCAAGGCTGCTGGTTTGTACAAACTTCTCTGAGAGCTGCTCGCTTCAGTATGTCGCATCAGACCATCACAGAATGTTTTGGGTGTCTGCCTGATATGCGCTGCTTGCCTTCTCCAACCTTTGCATCAGAGGCTTCGGCAAGGTTCGGCGGACTTGGTGGTTCCTTGTTTGTTTGATAGGAGCATTCCCGCATATGAAGGTAGTCAACGAAAAAAAGCATCAATCCCATCCATCCCATCCATCCCATCCATCTCCATCCCATCCATCCATCGGTTGTTCCAGGCCCCAGGCATCTTTCCCATTAGGTTCCAAGGCCCCCTCCCCAACTCCAAAATGCGGTTGTCCTTTTCTGTTTTGTCCCTTTCTTCCCACAAACCGCAACAAAAAATACCCTCCCTCCCACTAACCTAGCAACTGGAGGGTTCCTGGAAGATTCATTTCCCCTAGGGACCATTTCCCTGTCAGGTGCCAAGTTAATTTCCTCTTGTACTCTTGTAGCGACCATTCCCCTTTCAGGTGCCAAGTTGGAAGGGAGGGTAGTCGCCGGGTCCCTCGTGTTTCCGTTAAAACCCCAAAAACGGGGCACCGCTCCACAGGCCGCGGAGGAGCTGCTGGGGCAGAAGGCGGCCGCGCTGGAGGCGTGGCGCCCGAAAGAACACCTCAGTTGCCCGGCGGTGCCCGTGTTTTCCAACTTTGTTTTGGAAGGTTCCCCTTTTTAAATGTCAACCGGACAAAGCAAAGATGGCCTCTTTTTTTGTTTCATGGCCACTGGGCAGCTGAGAAACTTCGACCTGTTTCAAGATGGTGACCAAAAGGACATCAACTTGTTTCAAGATGGTTATCACTTGTCAAAACATCAATCAAAGATGTACCCGTAGTAGTTGTTTCGGTCTTTGAGGTTGCCGAGTTGCGGCGCCAGCAAAAAGCCATAGCACGTGCTCAAAAACAATCAAGCTGTTTCAAGATGGTGGGTGACCAAGCCAACATCAATCTATTCCAAGATGGTTCTCATCGAACTTTGGTTGCCTTCGCACGGTGGCCAACAATTAGAAGCTGTTCATTTGGAATAATCCATTGATGTGGAATTCCCTCCAAAGGATTTATTCCTGCAATAAGTATGAATCATAGCCAGAGCAAAAACTGGTCCACTCTCAGCCACTCTCCTTGATTGCTATTAGGTTGGATCTTTAGACTCTAACTTTTAGGAAAACCAAGTTTTCCCGAAAGGATGGCGAAGGGTTCTTCCGCTGGGTTCACTTGAGTTGTTCTCATGAGAGTCATTGCAAGGAGTCATTGCAAGGTCAGTCATTGAGTCATTGCAAGGAGTCATTGCAAGGAGTCATTGCAAGGAGTCATTGCAAGGAGTCATTGCAAGGAGTCATTGCAAGGAGTCATTGCAAGGAGTCATTGCAAGGAGTCATTGCAAGGAGTCATTGCAAGGAGTCATTGCAAGGAGTCATTGCAAGGAGTCATTGCAAGGAGTCATGGCAAGGAGTCATTGCAAGGAGTCATTGCAAGGAGTCATTGCAAGGAGTCATTGCAAGGAGTCATTGCAAGGAGTCATGGCAAGGATTGCAACTTGCACTTGACTCCTTGCACTTGCAACTTGCACTTGACTCCTTGCACTTGCAACTTGCACTTGACTCCATGCACTTGCAATGCACTTGCACTTGGCTTCCTTGCACTTGCAACTTGCACTTAACTCCGTGCACTTGCGACTTGCACTTGACTCCATGCACTTGGCTCCTTGCAACTTGCAATGGCTCTCATGATCCTCAATGACTCCTTGCAATGACTCCTTGCAATGACTCCTTGCAATGCAATGACTCTTGCCATGACTCCTTGCAATGACTCCTTGCAATGACTCCTTGCAATGACTCCTTGAAACAAGCAAGGAGTCAAGTGCAAGTTGCAAGTGCAAGGAGTCAAGTGCAATTGACTTGCGAGGAGTTAAAATCTCTTCTTAGGGCGGCGGGGTAGTGCCGACGACACTACACGAAAATCGACCCTCTGCGGGGATCGGCGTGGTCGAGGTGCAAAAACCCATGGTTTTTTTGCGATTTCTGCGGTGCTCGCGCGACCCTCTGCGGGGATCGGCGTGGTCGAGGTGCAAAAACCCATGGTTTTTTGCGATTTCTAAAGTTCCCGCGCGACCCTCTGCGGGGATCGGCGTGGTCGAGGTGCAAAAACCCATGGTTTTTTGCGATTTCTAAAGTTCCCGCGCGACCTTCTGCGGGGATCGGCGTGGCCGAGGTGCAAAAACCCATCGTTTTTTGCGATTTCTAAAGTTCGCGCGACCCTCTGCGGGGATCGGCGTGGTCGAGGCGCAAAAACCCATGGTTTTTTTTTGCGATTTCTGCGGTGCTCGCGCAACCCTCTGCGGGGATCGGCGTGGTCGAGGTGCAAAAACCCATGGTTTTTTGCGATTTCTGCGGTGCTCGCGCAACCCTCTGCGGGAATCGGCGTGGTCGAGGTGCAAAAACTCGAGGTTTTTCGCGACTTTTGTTGTTCGAACTGGTCCTCGGGAGTTGTCTCGTGGTTCGCGCGCCTGCTCCCGGAACCGGCGGGTCGCGGGTTCGATTCCTCCCTGGTCCGCGGGCGGGCGTCGCAAGATGCAACTTGCATTTTAAAGCAACTTGCGCAGAGCAACTTGCGCAGAGCAAGTTGCACAGAGCAACTTGCGCAGACCAACTTCCAGTTTGCGCAGAGCACCTTGCCTAGAGCAACTTGCGCAGAGCAACTTGCGCAGAGCAACTTGCACAGAGCAACTTGCACAGAGCACCTTGCCTGGTGCTGTCTCGCGCTTGCTTCACGAATGCTTCGTGTAGGGAAAAAGAACGCATCCTGCAGCGTTGGGCCGACCTCGCTTGCGATGTTCTGATTTCGGGCCAACCGTGGTCTAGTTTTTCCCCACCAAACCGCCCCCAAAAAAGCGATTCGCTTTTTGGGGGTCATTGCAGCGACCGCGTCTCGGCCGCTAAATCGCCTGCGGAACCGGGTCCGCGAGGAGCAGCTCTCCGTGACGGAGCGGCGGCTCAGGGAGATGGAGCAGCAAGAGCCGGAGGAGCTGCTCAGTTGCTGCGGTGGATTTCGGGCGCCCGGGGAGAATGCATGTGTTGTTGTTGTTTTTTTTGGTTTGTTGTTGTTTAAAAAATAGAAACAACGTTTTGCTTATTGTGGTTTAGTGGTTGAATTCCCCACTTAGCTGCTAGAATTCATTAATTTTGTTTTCGCCCCTCCAACGTGAACCAAGATTGGTTGCCGTGCGGAGGGAACAGCACGACAAAGAAAGCGAACCCATGGTAAACCCTGCAATATGCAGGGGACCCGGGCACTTTGTTGCCAAGTCGCGGATGTAGCACTTGGTGGTTGGAAGGGAGCCGTTAGGGAGCTGGTATCCAAGTTTGCGAATAAGCAGGGAGCTAACAAGCTGCCAAGAGTTCTGTAAGCAGGTGGTAGACCAGCACGAAAGCGAACCGATGAACTCCACTTACGCAGTTTGGCGGGGTTCTCTTTGTTTCATCGAAGAGAGAAGGCTACGAGGCATGATGCTCGACTGCTTGACACATTGACACATGCGGAGGAGGTTCCTGGACACATTCGTTCTGTGCCCTGCTCATTGCACGGCGCGCTCTTCGGTCCGAACTTGCCGCTGGCCTAAAAGCGCCGAAAACTGACTTTTTTGGTCGGTTTCTCGAGGAATTGCATTCACAGAGGTGAGAGGTCCGTTTCGGGAAGCTTTCAGCCACGAGGTCTGGAAAGGAAGGCGGGCGGCGAGCTCTGGTGATAGGCCGGTCTGAAGCAGACGTTGCAGAAATGTGGTGCTTAAGAAGCTTGCTGGTGCGCAGCAGGGAATGAGGGAAACGATAGGGGATGGTTTGTAGGGGGCATTCCCTCATTTCCTGCTAAGCACGAGCAAGACAGTACGGTATGACCATGCAGACTTTCTATCAATGGATGGACCGATGTTTGCAATCCTGCTCCTTCCACATTTTCCTTGACGCGGGGATCCAACACCCGGCAAAACCCTTTGCCAGGCTGCAACTACACCAACTCCTTCGCCCCACTTCAAGGAAGCGCCAACGATGCCTGGAACGTGCAATGTCTTCTGCGGCAGCTGGGGCCTGAGTTCCGTTTGATAGCCATGTCCTTTTGAGTCATGAGCTTTTTTTTGTTTTTATTGCTATTCTTGCGTTTGTTTTTCTTATTTCCCTCTGTTCCTCTCACCGCTCACACATGATCTGGTTCATGGCACATCGCGACGGTCTCGTTTCAGGACTTTGCAGTACTCTGAGAGCCAGGCACGCCCGGCGCGGCTCGCGACCTTTGATTGTGTTCAAGCCAGGCAGCGGCATTTTTGTTTAATGTCTTCTAGGCTTTTTTGGGGGAGAGTTCCCCTACCAAAACAGACTACAGAAAAAAAGGGTACCCCTACTCTAACTTCTCTACTGGAGGACCTAGTCTCAAACAACAAAACACTTCCCCTTTAGAATGGTTTTGATACTCGATTTCTTGTTAGCTAGGTCTCCCAGTAGTGCCCTTCTCTCCCCTTTCTTGGTTGGGAGGGTTCCCCTACTAAAATTGACTACAGAAAAAGGGTGCCCCTATTCCAACCTATCTACTGGAGGACCTAGTTTCAGACAACAAAAACCCTTCCCCTCCAGAACGGTTTCAAATAAATAAGTTCCTTCCCCTCTACAATGGTTCTGATACTGGATCTTTTGTTGGGGTTAAGAAAACCACTTCCTCTCCAGAGTGGGTTTTGTTACTCGATCCCTTGCGCGGCTTCGCTTCGAGGTGCGTTGCCTGGTGGACTTCTGGGGTGCCGCGGCGCCTCCAAAGCGTCGGCCCACGAGGCGCCCGGCGAGAAGTGCGCCAGTGGACCACGGGGCCGTTTGAAAAGCCGACTGCAAGGAATGACCCACGAGAAACGAATAGCATGGAGCATGGATCTGTCCTGTTTTTTTTTTGGTTGGGGGGGACCCGCAACCAACATGGGGTTGTCTGTTTTTGTTTTGGGGGGGGGGGATCCCACCAACATCGTGGTTTTCCTTTAAAGTTTGCCTTTAAGAGAGACGAAAAAGCTGGAAGGGGTACCCTCCAGATGGATGCTCAGATTCAAATTGAACCAAGCCGCGAAATTTGGATGACCCCTTTTTGGGGCTCCATGTTCATTTGCAACGGGGGGGGAGGGGTTCAGACAATCGCAGGAAGGGTTCGAAGACCATGAAAGACAAGGCCCAAACGTTCACTTCCATGATCGGAAGAACAGCGGAGGCGCACTCCCAACACGATCTTCGGGCGCGCTTGGCGCGCCTCAAGGGGTTAGGTTCTATGATTTCAACTCTGTAGACCAGAATTACAATCCAAGCTATTAAAGAGGTGATATCCGGTTTTTGACCCACCCAGGGTATGTTTGGGCTGTTCAGTCGGCCAGTTTGCAAGATCCTGTTGCGAAAGGATGTTGCCTCTTGGATTCGCTGACTCTCCCGATTGAACAGCAGAAGAAACCGCAGACAAGTCTTGGGTGGAGACCGTTGGATCGATGATTTGAATTGAGTTTGGGGGGGACCACCAAGTTTCAGGCGAATCAGATTAAGGCTTAAGGTTTTTCAGATTGGATGTGACCAGGACGGGGTTGGCCACGAAACAATGGAACTGCTGGAAAGGGTAGGTTTCTCGGTTCGGCAAGTTGAGCATCACCAGAAGGGGCCAAGGTCTGGTTAGTTGTGTTCTTTGCAGGGTTGGATGTTCAAGCTACTTAAGTCATAATTATGCCTACCGATACTTACTGAGTGGGTTGAGCACCCGAGTGTGTAAAGGTTCAGGTAGGGGTGCCCAAACTGGTTGTTTTCCTCTTAGAATCCCTTCACAACCACGGTACCGTCCACAGAGCAACCCAAGTTAAACGTAGGGACGCCTGTGATGTTCTTCGAAGCGCCAATTTTGAGACCCTTCGCAGGGACAACATCATCTCAGAGCTGCAGTGGCTCACGGGCAATGCCCGACCGGGTGCAGCTCAGCTTAACATGGGTGGTGGTGGATGATGGGGTCCAGGGTGTCATGCTTTGGACCAAGTTTGAAGCTCAGGACGTTTTGGTTGAAGCCTGGGTTTCAATCTATGGGGTAATCACATGTCACACATATCCTGTAAAATGATAGTCATGGGAATGGCACACCAAAGGTATCATGCCATATGATCCAAATACTCCCTTTACTTGGGGGTAAGGATTGTGATGAACCCCCCTCTGCAAAAGGTTTAGACAATGAGGATTCCTAGAAGGGGAACCCAAGGAACCCATGGATGACCATAACCCAAGGAGGGTCGTTTGACCACAACCCAAGGAGGTTCCTCCAGTCCCATTTGGTTGGGGCCATGGGCATCTCTCAAGAGGGGTTTCGGAGCAGAGGTCAGAAGAGTGCGGGACCATTCTGAACCCGATGTTTTTTCTGGCCAGGAAACCGCAAAGAGGAGAAGGTCTTGGAGAGACATGCCTTTGAAATCAAGCCGGACTCCCGAAGATATGGTACTCAACCTGCCCCCCCCCCCAAAGAGAAAAAAGAAACGCATGGAGCTTGACAGGGCATCCATTGAAAAAGGCAACCAAAACTGAGTGGGCCTCGTTCAGAGTCCATGTTTGTCTTTTGGGGTTTGAACCTTTCCACCAAAGAGGAAGGCAGGCCAAGTCCAAACCATGAGGGGCCTGGCGAGTTCAGGGGGTGAGAAACCTCAAATTCCCATAGGGCACGCTGGATATTGGCGAGAGGCTTGCTCCGCGCCGTGAAAAACGCTGAACCCGAGAAAGTAGCACAGATCGGTGGGGTTTCCATTGTTTCCTTCGTGTTTCTACCCCGATCGGGGTTCGCAGCAGGCCTATCACGGGGTATGTGTCAAAGGGGACCCAACAAATGGTGGGCTCAAAAGCAACGAGCCCCTCCCCTTGTCAGCAGGACAACATCTTCTTGTATTTCAGCGGCTACGGAGCACAGCAGCCTTCGCACGTGGAGGGCCTCTACGAGGTGCAAGCTTAGAGTTCCCGCCTGTGATGGCCGTGGTTTCGGTTTCTTTGCCAAGCCTGCTTTGTCGTCCCGGATTTTTTGGAGGCAAACCCACTTGTCTTCTTTTTGGGCTGTTCAACCATTCCGAAGCTGAGGCCCGTGTTGAAATCGTCATGCATGTGGGAAGGCGATGGCCTGCCGGACCCCACTATCAGGATTGCCAGTTTCTCTTAAGAAGTCGTCATTGGGAGGGCGGTTCCGGCCAACGGTATTGCAGCAAACAAAACTATTTGCCACCAGAGTCGCGCAGGCCCGGCTAGAAGGATCCTAACAGGATCCGAACAAGATTCGAACTGCGAGTCACGAGCACTTAGCGCTATGGCACAAATTGTGGCAAGGAAATACGGCAAAGATGTGGCCAGAGGAGTTGAACCAGTGCTAAGATCTTGCACACATGAAGAAAGCGACACAGGAAAAGGCGAATATACAACAACAACCTCTTAGTGGCTCGTCTTTTCTCGGAGTTGGCACCCCTGCTTTTTGTTTTTTCGAAGGGAAAGCAAAAGGAAAACGGAAAGAACAAAAAAAAAAACAAGTCGGCGCCCCTGCAAAACGGATACCGTCATGTTGCCATGATAGGGCCACCTGGTTCCTGCTGACTACGCTGACAACCTTCCCGAGGACCCGAAGCAGAGCGCTAGGAGATTTGCCGCTGGGTTTGACCATGGGGCCCTTTTGTTTTTGATTTGTTTGGTGTGAAGGCAGATTCCACACCAAGGAGCCAAGCTGTTTTGCAGGATCAAGGAACTATCCAGTGAGGATACGGAGTTGGTCCCCCATGCTCAGAGCTCAGAGTTGGACAAATGACTAATCTCAGGAACGCCAATCCAAACCACCAATTCAGTCAGAATCGACACCTGGCATTTTTCTGGTCGACCCAGAACCGTGTCGCCAAATTTTCGCGGATGTCCGCACCTATTTATGCTTGAGAATCCTTTACTACCCCCCCCCCTTTTTCCATGGCTTGGATTGTGACTCAATTGGGTTGGTTTGGGTGGCGGCTCGTCTTTTTGTGAGGCGACAGGTACCCATTTGTTTCTGGTAAAGGGAAACCACAAGTTGAATCCCGTTGCGCCCCTTCGGGTCTGATTCCTGAGAAAAGAAAACAGCCAGCCAAATCAACTGATCCTCTGGCCGCGGATTCTTGGAACTGAGCCAAGAGGGCCAAAAGATGGATCATCTGACCGCACCCATTTTTCTTGGTGGTTCCCATCATTTCTTGGGTTTTTAGAGCTTTTCGGTTCGTTTAGTGGTTGGGTGTCCATTTAACCCACTAAGCTGAGCCGCTTTCCCCCCGTGATTCAGCCACTGAACAACCACTCAGGGGATCTGAAAAAAAAAAAAACGGACAGCCCAAGCCGAGTCAGGAGGTGCTCCGGGAGCTGGCCAGCGCTGCCCGACGCCTCAGCGTCTTCGAAGAATGCGTGTGTGTGTGTGTGTGTGTCGTGCATGTATGATTGTATGTGAGTATGTGTACATATATACGGATATATCCATATATAGTTTAACGCACATATATATATATATATATATATATATGGAATTATGGAATCCGAGGTTCTTTGTTTTTCGATGGGTCCATGGAGAGGGTCACTGAATTTCGGTGGACATGAATCAGCCGCCCATGATGTCCACAGGGTTATCGCAAGGTTCCCCCAAATGGGTATGGGTCAAAATTAGTCACCACCAACGAACCGGTTTTAGTCAGACTGGACTTTTTGACATACTCTTTCCAACAAAGAAAACGCTTTGCACCCGCTGGCACCAAACGAGAAACCAACATGCACACCTGCATGGAATTTCAAGGCCGTGAATATGAGCATCAACTAACATGAAGCCTGACAGAGGGGTCCCTTTAAATGGAAAGTGGTCTTCCAGGACCCCTCTGTCAGGTTCCATGTTAATTGGCGGGAGGGTAATACCAGTTTGCTTCCCCCACATCTCCAAGTCGAATCTGCTACGAGGAGCTACCGCCAGACTGGGCCCAACGAGCCGCCGCCGGGTACCGCCCAGACCCCAGCGGCTCCAAGCTTTGGGTTGAAGGGAAGCCCAAAGGAAAACCGATAAGCCAAAAACGGGCACACCCAGATGTAGCTACGCATGCCCCACAAAAGGCTGAGACAACCATATATGTGATGCTGAGCATGGTATGAATATTGATAAGGAAAGGGCTTCGTAGCCCTCCGTGGAGCTTTGCACGTGAGCCGCGGTGAATATTCAGCATGGTGGGACACCCTCGATTTGCTAATGGTCATAATGGTAATTTGGTGAGTGTGCGCGATGTTATTACCCTTTCAGCAGAAGAAAGCGAATCTTGATAGTGGATCATGTACAACATCCAGAACAAAGCTCGGCGGAACAAGCCTGATCAATAGTTTGACAGCTCGTTCACTTATAATCTTTGTGAAGGTAAGGGACAGCCCTGCCATAAGTGTGGATATCAAGAAACAAATCGCCAAGGGTTTTGGGTGGGCCACTTTAACACCAAAGTTTTGATGACTGATGTGGGCTTGGAGAACCCCTAGGGCCCCTTCCAAACAAAGGCGAAACCCAGCTATGCCATGCTGAAAAGAGGTGGCTCGAACTTGGGATCTCCAGACTTTGACCCTCGGCCCATCGCTTTTAGCTTTCCATTCTTCGATTTTGAGGCGGACCCCAGACGCTTTGACTCGTTGTAAGGGATAGGCAAGGACAGTAGTCACACCCCAGTTCGTTCCCTTCAGGCAACAAGAAGATGGTGTCCTGGCTTTTCCGAGCTTTTCCATGAATGTTAGACAAGGGGGCAAGGGAGCCAACTTCGAACCAACCATTTGGAAGGGTCTGGGATGAAACACATGGCACGTCTAGACGGGTTGCGCATGTTTCCTAAGCCGAGCCGGCTAAGGGGGCCCCAAGTCCATGCATTCGACAACCCGTGGTGTGAGAGGTCCAACACGCGGCTGTGCTTGGAGTGCGCTTTACTTCATGTCGCAGTTGGAAGGGGCTATGAAAGGCCGAGGCTGTTACAACTCCAACTTCCCACTCAGCTCTTCTGAAGGGAGCGTGCAAGAAGCAGTTGTGCAGGCAACGTTGTTTCTAAACATCGCGTCGCCCCAAACATCCTCTGTTGCATTCCTTCGTGTGCTCTGAGGCCGCTTTCCGTTTCTTTCGTTCAGTTCATGTGCACAAAGCGGCTCAGTTGTTTGGGTCGCAGAATTGGAGATCCGCAATGCCAACTTCGGCGCTGTTGCCAATCGGTTTGGTAATATATCTTATTTGTTCTTTCATGGCAGAATCCGCAGCATTGTATTCCAGCCTATCGTGACACAAGGGGCTGCGGAGTCTCCGATGGAATGCACAAATCGCATTTAAACGTTTATTTCTTCGAAGTGCGGTAGTTGCTGCGAAGCGACCACTGCCATCCATGCATAGCTAATCGCATTCTCTTTGGAAGCATAGGTGTCCTTTTTAGGTTAGTTTTGTTGAGAATAGAAGGCACTGGTTTAGATGGGTTTGATTCCATTCACCAGGGCCATCTATTTTTCCAAAAGGACACCTATGTTTGGAAGGTACATGACTTTTTTTCTAGAGACGGGTTGCTTTCTCGCTGCGATATGAGGCCTTGTCCCCATGTCGCTGATCACTTCGGCGCTTCATGCACTCCCGTCGGGATGCAAGGCAGGTTGGCTAGAAGATAGTCTGGTGGGTTGGTTCTCCAACAACTTATTCACATCGCAAAATCGTGGGATTGTGTACAAACTCTGACTAAATAGTTCGAACCAATTGTGAGGGGTAGCTATCCGGACAACCGGGATGCACGCTCCTAGAAGCCGAAATGTTCGCCATTCTGCGCCCATGACGAGTGGCACGCCAGACGTACCCTGAACTTACTCGACCTTTGCTACGGTTACCCTTCAAAGACAAAGTTTCTTCCATTTTCCTTGGTGGAACCTCCAAAAGTGGCAGTTTTAATGGACACCACCAGTACATTGATCAACTTTTGCTTTGGGGACATCCAGTGACCCCTGAAAGGGGCGTGTCCAACTTGCGTGCACGTTGCAAGCTCTGGGTCGCGTCTCAATTCGAGGGCTCCCGAAGCCGACCACGAGTCCAGGGAGATTCCCCGGGATTTGCGGGCAAGAAGGTGACCCAACGAATCAAAGAGGGCGCCAGGCCCCTTGGTTCATTTTATATTGCCCTTTGGTTCTCAATTTTTCAGGGAGCTCAAACAGTCCCAACCCGAAAAGTTGTTGCTTTCATGTTGCTTGCCTTTTTGAAATCTCCCAAAGGGTTCTAGTTTTGGCACGTGCCCCCTCAAAGCAGGTCGGGCATTTGCAGCTCAGCCTGACCTCTTCATTTTTGGATCTGGGGCTCACCATTGGGGTGTGGCTGAAAATTCAAGTGCCAGGGAGACGCAGGTGTTAGTCTTTGGTTCAGTGTACCAAGGTGCCATGCATGTTGGTACATCTTTTGGAGCTACAGCCATGTGTCAAGGGATTGCATCAGCCACCAATGGTTGGTCCTCAAAGTCGCCCCAAGTGTCGCCCCAAGTCGCCTGGCTGCGCACGGCACGCAGCCAGGCCACCGTGGTGCTGGACTGCTGCCAGGCCTCGGTGCTGCCGCTGCTGAAGTCCGCGGACGTGCGGTCCGTGCTGGCGGGCCCTGGGCAGCGGGCCCCGAGAAATCGGATAGCGGCGATGAGCGCAAATCGACGGGGCTGGAGTCGGTCAATGGAGACCCCCAAAGAGGGAGAAGGCTCCAAGAGCGGTTTGCGCATTGGACATGAGCTTCGGTCAAGAGATCCTGGCTTGTTTGTTTAATTGGGAGGCACGCGGAAAAAATGAGCTCTAATCTCAATCACGAGAATTTGGGGGCGACTCGCTGATTCTGCTATCCTGTGGTTTCTCCACCAGAGTTTACGTGGAATCCAAGAGAAGGGCCAAGGGATTCCAATACTTTTAATCTTAGGAGAGCCTTCCGGGAGACTACCCTTGCTTTGGGGTGGTTCAGAGGGTACTCCAAGGAAAGCTGGGGGCTTCCCTGATTTGCGACATCTTGTTGGACGGCTTTGAAGGAAATGAAGAGGAAGCCAATCACTTAGAGCTGTCCCTGATTTTGAGAAAGACCCAACCGGGCTTGTCTCCAAATTGGCGTGGAGCTCCATATCTTTTGCTGAGGGAGGTCCCCTGTGGTTTCTTGTTCAAAGCACCCCCCGGAACGCGTAGCATTCAAGGAAAGAGACCCCAACATTCCTTCAATTGCAACAGTTGCCACGTTGAGCTCAAACCGCTTGGCCTCCAGTTTCAAATTGTTCGACAGCAGACCCAAACAGAAAAGCGGACTGCGATCGTACATACCACCAGAAAGCCACCAGACCCCCAGGTGGGAACCAACTTCGCGGAATCATCGGCCCTATGAAGCAAAACCCCTGATGGCTTCTCAGGACATCAGGAATCATCAGCCCTATGAACCATTTCCTGATGGTTTTCCTTCAAACAAATCCCCTTCCGAGGTTCATTCCCAAAACCCCTTTTTGATGGTCAACCAGAATCCTTCACATATGCCCAAAAGGGGATTACCTTGGGAGACCCGAAAGCCCCAAATCGGCTCAGCGAGCCTAGGCCTCCGCTCTTCCAGCGCTTGCGTGCCAACGCGTCGGGGGAGAAGAGCCGGCAGCGCTTGCCCGGGGCCCCAAATCGCCATGGGAAAAAAGCGGATGGGTTCAGCCAGGGATCTGCTTGTGAGCCTAGCGAAGACCCATCGCGCATTCCGTGTGAGCCAGGCCCAGCTTTGCCAGGCCCGGCCTAAAACGACATAAAACAACCCTAAGCCAACCCTCTTTCTGGTGGGGGGGTGTTTGACTCATGACCTTTGGAGGGGCGGTGGGGGGGGGGGGGTGTTGGCAACGCTGTACATAGATTGGTTTCTATCTGGACAGCCAAAGAGGCTGGTTGCCCAGATGCGGGTGCAACCACATTGCCGCCCTATGTCTGATGTCTGTACAGGTCCCTTTGGCGATTCCCCTAAACAGGGATAGCTCACTCGCTGAGTTCCTGGTCTTTTTCATCTCTTCCCCCGAATAATATAGCTCCCCCCCCCAAAAAAAGGCAGAAAGGAAGAACCACAAATAGAACTCTTGGCAACAGCAGGATTCCCCAGTTCCAGGTTTGGGGTGTTCAGTCTTGTATTTTGGTTCACCTTTCTGCGGGGGAGGTAGCGGGACGGGGAGGTGGGGAACAGAAAGTACTCCCCTTTCCGGGCCCCCAAACAAGTTCATTGATGGATGCTTTTGGTTTTTAAGATTAGGACCATTCAAAAGGGAACCGCCACCGGCCGCAAGCTGTTCTTGCCCAAAGAGAAGTGCTTCGTGACTGAAGGCAAGGGGTCCCCTAAGACTGCGAGACAAGTCGGCGGGATAAATTGCTAGTGTTGGTTTCAACTTGAGCTGTTCTAACTGAGTATTGGGCCATATAGTATTATTAGGGGGACCTTTATTGTTAGGGGGAAGAGATGGCTTTTGGGGAAGCCAACTTTAGAGTTCAGACTTTCTGCTGGCCACTCAGAAAGTGAGATTGTGTCTTTTTGCGCACATTATTCTCCGCAGGGGAGAATCGCAACGCTGGCGCATGAGGCATGCACTTTCAGTCGACTCAACGCCGCTTCGCTTTAGGCTGAATTTGCCACCCCTGCCTCACAGCTCTTCAAGGCCGGACTGCGGGGCTCGTTGCTCGTTGGCTTTCCTGGTTTGGTCTCTTTCCTTTGGTCACTTTAAACACCAACCAAAGAGCAACACCAACTTGAAAGCACATCTGCTTTCGTGTCGGAGCTTGGCGACTGCCGGAACTGTACGCCAACTCTTGGATAGTTGTAAAGGTCGATGGGTGTTGGACGTGGCTTGAGGCCTGCTTGGTTCTCCCGTTTGGTTGTTTCCTCAAGGCTGTTGCCCCGGGCTGGCTGATTTGATTGGGGTTTGGCTTGGTATGGGTAGGCCGCATCCTCAGCACCGGCCCGATCGAATTGTCGAAACAGGTCGCATCTGAGCTTTTTGCGGCTTCAGGGCTGGTCTTGAGTTGGTTGGGGCTTTCTAGCGTGAAGGCTGGCTGTTGGGAGGGTGCAGGGTTGACTGCGGATGCTGGGATTTTTGTAAAGTTAAGCTGTGGCTTTGGGGTTGCTTTGGTGGTTGACCGGACCTTGGGCTTGGTTCTGGAGGGTTGCCTCAAACGAGCCCAAACTCACTTAGCACCCGGAAACCCCCAAGCCAATGCCAACGCCCTAACCATAGATGTCCTTGTTATGTTACTTTCTTTGAACACGTTTGAACATAGATGGGTTACTGAAAATCAAAATCAAGCAAGCTTTTCCCCTTTTGGTCCACATGAGATTTCTGTTCCCATAGGTTTCCCTTTGGTTCTCTGCCATCGATTTTTCCACGACACCCATGGGCCTAAACCTGACAGAGGACTCCCCATCCCAGCTCTTTCGGTTAGGCCTTCGGCATCGCCGTCTGGAAATCGATCCACTCCAATGGGATCACCGTCCATGCAGGCCACCCGGCTTGAAGCGAAGTTTTGTGTTTTTTTCCTCGCGCGAGTGGAAGCGGGGTGGTTTCTTTTGATTTATTTTGAATTTGGAGAAAATTCGCAGATCTTGCAAAGCAAAGTGTCGAAACAAAACAAAAAAGTTGGAGCCAGTTCCGTTCACTCTCCCACGTTACCCTTCGGAACTTCGGAACCCACCACTTAGTGCTCCTTAGGCTGGGATCCTCTCGCCGTCACCACGGGCTGGAAGATTTGTTGCCTTCCTTTTAGTGGCGAGTTTTTGGGAGCCTGAAGTGATGGACAGGAGTTCAGTACAGCTTTCAGGTCATGCTCCAGAACCGTTCCTGTGAGTGAAAAGCTTGAGCTCAGCCGCATGCATTCGACGCTCGGGCTACACTGGGGGGGGTGTTTCTCGGAATTCGGAATAGAACTCAATCCTTCCAAACCTGTCCAATTTGCTTCCTGAACCATCCAGGCACAATCCATGGGTTTCCCTCCTTACGATTGGCAGCCACACCCTAAACCGGTGCCTACACCATGGGTTTCCCTCACCCACTGCCAGGCGCGGCAGCCCGGAGAAGCGCAGGCGCCCAGCGGGATGGTTCATCCAACTGGAACAAAACACCTCCTCCCAGCTGGAGTTGGTGGGGCAACTAGGGCCCTCAGTAGTGCCAACTCTTACCGTTTCTTTTTTGGGGGGAGGGTTCCCCTACTAAGATAGACTACAGAAAAAAAATCGGGTACCCTTATTCTAACCTCTCTACCGGAGGACCTAGACAAGTGGTTTCTGTTTGGCGTCCCTGTAGACTCCTATTGCGCAAGGACCCTTTCTTACGGTGACGAAGAGCCGAGTGGAAGTCAGGAACGGGATGTGGGAACACACGTGGACTGGTGTGTGTTTTGGCACAAGTTTCGGAACGGGCAAGTTCTTTTTGTTTGATGACAAAACTGCGAAACTAATCGGACACCATCCATTTTGGGGTGGCAGCAGTTGCGAGGAACTCTTCTGGTTAAGGGGACCTATGGAGAAGGTGGCCAATATTCGCATGAAGCCAGTGGGAGAAGGCGGTGGTTTTGCAGTCCCACTTCGCGTGGTGAAAACTTTATCCCCGGGGTCGAGCCCATGGGCCTTTCTCGTTTGCCTACCTGACTCTGCCTCAACTCTACGAGTTTGGACAGGCAGGACCAGAAAGGCTTAATAAAATAGATCAAGAAATACCAGCATCCCCCCAACCACGGCTTTCTGGCTACGGTACCAAGGGTATTTTGGACATGGTGGAAAAAGCAGGCCCCGGGTGCTGGTAAGGGTTCTGAGAAAAGACCCAACCTTAAGGCTTTCCAATGAAAGGACCATTCCGAGGCAATGGGTTGATTACACGTGATGGTGCCTGACAATACATTCTACCGAAGGTGTTGAGGTTTGCACAGTCAGCAACAAACAGAATGCAGTGGATGCCCTGCAGTAACCATTGCGAGAGAGAAAGGAGCACATCTATCGCATTGTGCGACAGTTTTGGGGTGGGACTTTGTTTGGAGGGAAGAGAGAAAGCTCTCAGTTGTGCTTGCAGAGCCGGCATGGTGTACCAGCATGATCAACTCCTGCGAATTGTCAGGCACTGTTGCAAAGCACACGCAGCTCCATCTAAACAATTACCCCGTTAGAGTAGAACACGGGGGTTGATGCAATTTTACAGGCCCCAAAATGTTGACCATGGGTAACTTTTCCCATTTGGTGTCAATTATAGTCTCTTTAGTGGGTTTTCCCCAATGGGTCATCCCATGTAGAGGACCTTTGGATCAGCCCCTAATTAGTCTGAGGGGAGCAACTTCTTGCCAGGGTCTTTGCAAGCCTGTGACATAGAAGCCTTTGGGCAAGCCTGTGACATAGAAGCCTTTGGGGAAGTGTCTAGGGGGGGGGTAGCTCTCCTTTTTGGAAAGATCCACCATCGCAGTTCCTTGCCATTTCATGAGCTTCCCCCCGATTCCGTCGGTTCTTGGCCCACTTTCAGCCAATATTCTCAAGGCACGCACAAGGTTCGGCATAGTGGGACCCGATCAGGTTCTGATGCTTTGCCATGGTTGCCGCGTTTTGATACCAAGTTTGATCACTTCCCTTCAAATTGAGATGGCCATGGGTCATGTGCCTCCATTTTGGATGAACACCCATGTACAACTTATTTTGATGTTCGCCAGGAACACAGGGTTTTGACCCACAGCCAGATAGCAAAATCTTTTTTGGGCATCCAAAAAGGCTGTCCCTCTCAAGTCGAGGGTGTGCGGGTTCCATGTAGGCCGCCTACCATGGCCCCTGCTGCAAGTGCTACTGCTTCGCGACCTGCCAAAATGACCAGGCGGCCGAAATGTGCCCTGAGGTGTCCTTTCAGGGTCCCTGCTCCCCTTTTGGATGGTTTCGAGCCTCACCTGTTGCTCCCCTTTTAACGTGAGGCTTCCTGACGGGGTAGCCACATAGAAAAGGACCCCCGCTGCCTTTGCTCTGGGAGATGGGCAGTGGGTGTAAACCGATCTCACCCTGGGCCCTTTCTGTGGAGATGTCGCCCATTTCTTCTTGGGCTCCGATTTGTTTTCACCCCTCAAACTCGTGGTTTTTTTCCCCTTCCTTTTTCTTAACCCTCAAACCCTTCTTGGGAGTCCTTTGTAGGAACCCTGTTTTTCAAGCCCTCAGACATCCTTTGTTTTCAACCCCTCACCTCGCTTTTGTGCGCCCTCCGCGTTTTTCTTTTCACTACCGACCTTGGTTTGTTCGCCCCCGACCCAGTTTTTTTGTTTTTCACAGCCCGGTCTTGTTCTTCTTACCCTCGACCCGGGTTAAACCAACTCTACACCAACCCGAAGCCAACCACAAACCTGGCCTAAGCCCGACCTAAAACAACCTTAAACCCACCCTAAACCCAACCCAGACCAACGCCACACCTGAAGCCAACCCTAAGCCAACAAACAACCCTCTCTAAACCCACCTAAACCCTTCCAACAGAAACCCGAATCCCACCCAAATCTAGCCTTAATTCAACGCTAAGCCCGACCAAAGCCAACACAAAACCGCCCCTGAACAGAGCCACCGACCCAACCTAAACCAACCCAGGCCAACCCTAACCCAACCACACTGCGCAAACCAGTCTTCACACATTTTGAAGGCTTTTGCGCGTTTCTGTGGCTTTTGGATCCTAGACCCTAATCCGACCCTAATCCCACCCTAACCCACCCTAAACCCACCTAAGCCAACGCCAAACCCGAAGCCGGCCTAAACCTAAACTTCTCCTAAGCCATGTCAACCAAAGGGTTCCAAATTAGTTCACCCAGATGCGTCAGAACCGGGAACCTTGCTGTATGTGTGTGTGTGTGTGTGTGTGTCAAACACGATGGGACTGGGACCCGTCCAAATGCTCGCGGCATGTCGCGGCGTTCTTGGGGCTTTCAATCCATGGGCGCGACTCTTTTGCATATTTGGAAAGGGCCATGTTTCTTCGGGTGGAGTTTGGGATTTGCCCCGGGCCTTGCTCAGGCTGGCTCCTGCTTAGTTGGGCTTTCAGGATTCCTGTCTTCCATCGGAAATCTCCTGATTCGTAGGAGTTGAATTCAGAGGTCTCCATTAGGGGTCTATCTCCCGCTCTTTCATTGTTGAGAAGCCGAGATAGCATTTCCCGTACTTGCTTTGCCATTTTGTTGACAAGGAGCCTGGAAAGAATGGGGGAGTACAGCTAGAGGGCGTCTTCCACATGGCAAAAGTTGGGGCCAACTTTAAATTGAGTGTCTTTTGCGGGTCGATGTGACTGACCCTGTTTAAACTTAGTGGTGCGCAGTAGCGAATGGACCCAGGGATTCCTTAGCAAGCCACCAGTTGGACGGTTTATAAGGGTCGTCCCCTGCCTATCGAACCAGCAAGTAAACCTCCAGCTCTCCGCATTTTCTGGATGCCCTCACCTCACCCGGCCTTCCACCAGAGCCTTGACCGGCCAGGTGTGCTGCGAGCTGCCCATTGAAGGGACCTGCCGGCATGTGAACAGACGACATGGGAAAATGGGCTGTCTCCCCTCCCCGTCCCTTTCAAAAAATGGGTTGTCCCCCCATGTCCTCCGTAGAAAACCCAATCTTGTTGCTCAGTTCCTCATGTGTCTTGCACTCGCCTGCGCGTGTGCGGGAAGGCGCGCTCGAACGGGATTGACTGTCTCTAGGACTGTTACAGACGGCTGGTTTGCTAGGCGGGTGTTCCTTTCGAATTCATCCAAAAGAGCCATGCTCCAGATGCGCGGCGACCAGGAAGCATGATGAGGGATTCAGTTGACCATAGCCATGTCTCTCTCTCTCTCTCCAGGCTACCGTGGCCGTAGCTGATTTGCCTACAGCATGGGAGTTAGCCCTGTGATACTGGAAGGGGCTCCTAACGAATCCGGGAGGTCAAAAGAGGACATCACAGTAGGAGAAAATGACCCCTCTCATTCCCAGCCCTGAAAGGCAGCGCAGAGCTTGCCTTTGAACCTGTGGACCTTGCTCCTCAAGTTTTAGAGGAAGCTCCGGGAAGACCACTCCAGATGGGGTCAACGGGAAGGGGTCGGTCCATTTCCCAAAAGGAGCTTCCTTTGTCTTCACTGGGTTCCATGTTCGTCTTTGGTGTACATCTGTCATTTCCAAAACTTGGTGGTTCCCAGCCATCCCCTTAGCTTCTTAGACTTCTAGTATTTAGTGAGGATTTCCATTGAACCCACTAACAGTTAAGCTTTTAGCGGGGGATCTGAGGACAGCCCAGAAAAGATGAGATTCGGAGACTCCAGATTTCAACAGGGACGGTATATTTTTGTTTGCGAAGACGCCTGGCTCGAGGGTCGCCGATCAGAGCCAAACCACTTCGGGTAGATGAGGGTTAGACTTGCAACTTCCAAATGGGTCTTTCTTTTTTGGGAGGACCCACAAAAATCGTGGTTGTCCTTCTTTTTTTTGCCCACCCCAAAACGGGGAACCTTGAAAATATACAACCCATAGTGCTGGCGCGGATATCACGCAACCGCCCTTTTGATTCATTCTTTATCCATGGGTGTTGGGCAGACTCACAGAAAAATACCAAGTTCTTGAGTATGACCCTCAAGGACTTTTTGTGTGGTTTTTCTCTACTCGAACTTAGACAAACTAAACATTGATCCGCCCAACCCTTGGTTTGAACTGTTCAGACTCTCAACTGAATGTCCGCGTAGCTCATGATGGTCCTTGGCAGAAAGATGACTAACGTCAAAAGCAGACACCCCGGAAATGCAATGTGCGTTGGTGTGTGCTCAGTGTTGCTTTCCTTCCAAAACCATCCAAAAGGGCATCTCCAAGTGGAACCAGCAGTTCGGCCTGGAATCTTCTGAGTTTCCCCGTGTCCCTTGTTCTGCTCTCGTCGAATACCCATTAAACCGATCCCATGCCATCCGACGCTCCGACGCGGACGTACCCATGCCAGGACCGTCCAGGGTGCAGGCACCTGGGCCTTTGTGAAGGCCGCAAGATGGATTCGCGTGGATTCGCGTCTTGTCCTCTTTTGTTGTTTGTCTAAGGCACCTGGACCCGGAAAAGCTAAGCATAAAAATTGGAAAGTCACCCCAAGAACCTGATTTTTTCAGGGTAGTGTGAGGGTTCCGGTTCCGGGTAGTGTGTGCTTTTTGGTCAGGCTATCCCCAGTTGGTGGTTTGCAGCCCGGTGTCTAACGATTAACCAATTGAGAGGGTGTGACTCCGCTTACGTCAAAACGAGCTGTTCATGACCAAGTTGGGGCCCCAATACAAAAGAGAGCATGAACAACCGTCATCTTTCAATCTTAATGGTGGACACCCGCAAAATGGTTCCCAACAGAAGCTATTCCCTGCCCCGGGCCCAGCTCCGAACCTGATAAGGCACTTGCAAACATCTGGCCCCTACTGTGGATGGACAGAATCCTGCACCACTTTGAAACCATGCGAAACCAGTGTTTATTGGTATTTACAGAAGGATCTCATCATTCCGGGCTTCTTTTATACTGTGGTGCACACCCACAGTATCATGACTTTTGTTTGGTCTTTTCCAGGCCCCTACATGGCTATGTGGCTGTGGGTCAAAACCAATGGTGCCATTTTTGGGTAGGTGCAGCACCTATTTTAGCACCTATTTTAGTGGGGATTGGGATGTTTACTGGGGGTACGATTTGGATTTTGACCCATGGACATGTGTCAAAATAGCACAAAACGCAGCTTACCCCTGAGTGCTTTGGATTGGTGGTTTGGTAGGGGGTTTCCCATTTGCACACAAGAACCAGGGGCTGAAATCCGAATCCAGTTCCCAGGTGCCCTTTTGACACCAATCGGAAACACATTCACAGCCAAGGCATTGGGGTTGATACCTCTCAATACGAATCAAGGATAGTGAGTTGAAGGGAATGATCACTGATCCACACCAGAAGCCCCGTGCCTCTCGAATACGGGCTTGTTCATATTTTTGTCCGAACTGTTTCAGGATGCGTCGGAAAGCGTTTTGAGCGGTGCGGGTGTGGATTGATCTTCCGCAGCTGCCAAAAGGATGAGGTGCCACAATGGGTGACATGACTGACATTTGCCAGTGTCACTTGCTGATTCGAGCTCGTTCGCTGGCGATCCTTCAGGCTGTGGCAGCTTGTCATTTCAGCACATCGCTGACTCAGCACAGCAAGGCGCGGCGGTCATTTCTTCTCACTTCACAGTTGCAGCCGAAGGCCCAGAAGTCAGTCCCCCTTTGAGACCATTGTTTTGCTCGCGAAGTGTCGCACTTGCCTTGAAAAGAGGCACCCTTCTTCTCCCCCTCGTGGGGCACCCCAACAAGACGTGAAAGCCTCCACAAATCCGGGCCCCTTGCGAGAACCCAGGGTCGCAGCCAAAGGCCATGGACAGCATCCTGCAGAACTTGCGCAGGAAGTACAGGCGCGAAATTGTGTTGCGCATGGATGCCTGACAGTAAATTCTCAACACAATTCTCGGGGAGTCACTCATTTCCCCATGTCCTTTGGGGTCTCCTCCAAAAAACACACTTCACGGAATTGTGAGGGCACACGTTTGTCTTGGTCATAGCTCAGGTGGATCCAGCAAACCCCGGTGATCCAGCTTTCTGCAGCAGCTAATGTCGAGGACCTGGCAAGCTATTGTGCCTCATGGGTATATACTATGGGAGTCTGCGTTTGTGTGTGTGTGTGTTGAAAGGGTAACCTTTGTAGGGTTGGTCTCTAGATAGAAACAAAGGGACTTGAATTGGGCCGCCGCATGCCGCAAGCATATATGTTTTCCTGAACCTGGCTGCAGGACGCTCTGATTCTCCCGTAGCTGTGAGAATCCAGTTCGTGCCGTTCTTGCCAGTGCCATTCAAAGTAGTTGGCGATGTCATGGAATCGTTGCTCAACAGCCAGCTTGTTTCGGGTTGTCAAGTCAAGAGCACCCCCCAGGACGTCCATGGGTTCCCTTGCAAGCCCCAAAAAGGGTCCACAAAGCATGTCGAAAGCCCCTTTGGCCATTCGCCAACCACTGAGCTTGTGACACCGGCCTCCAGATTCGCTTAGGAAAAAGGTCCGACATTCGCAGGAGCTGTTTAAGTGGGGAGCAGAAGCGTGTGGGAGTTTCTTTCGAAAAATGAAATCCTAAGGGGACCCGAGCATTGGCATTTCATGCTTGGACTTTGTCTAGCAAGATTGAATCCCCACTGCAAAGGTCCTCTAGTTTTGAGCCACGGCTGGCCACAAAGTGTCAAAGCAGAGTGCGCAGAATATTTTTGGGACTCAGTTCGAGTACCGCAGATTCAACACAATGGGTCCGTTTTGGCTTGCTTAAAAGGGAAACCGAAAGCAGACCAATCATTTGTATGTGTTGTTGTTTTTTGTTTTGTTGTGTTTTTTCTTGGGAGGGGGAGGGGAGCGGGTATCACATACTTGCAACAGACATGTTGTGTTTGGCACAAGTTGGTGACATTCCAAAGGACAGCCGCGTGTGAAGACCAAGGGCTAGTCGCACTTGTTCTCAAGCATATCCAACGGGCCAATGACGCACAGAACAAGTCGCGTTCATCAATCCAGCAGATCATCAGCATCTCATGAACGCTGGCCGGATGCACCGTTCTTTGTGTGTTTTGCAATGAAGATGTAGACTTGGGTTTTCGTGCCTAGCTGGCCAAGATGTCAGATGTTGGCTAAATGGAAGTGGAGGGGAGGGGGGCTCCCAAAAAGGAAAGTAGCCTTCCCACCCCCTCCCGTCAGCTTATGTCGGGGGGAGTGCGAACATTTTCTTGGACCACTTGGGGGTTTCTGAAAATGGACCCCCTTTTGGTTAAGTGAAAGCCAGAAGGAAACCACTGTAACTCCAGTTGATTCCTATTTGGAGAACCCCCCCAAATGGTGATTTTCATTGCGGTTTCCCCTCACCACTTAACATGAGGTTCCTCACCTCCAAAAACTGACACCCCCACTTGAACCAAACAAAGAGACTCCTTCAGGAGTTGTCACTCAAAGGATCCGCGGATCGCCATGCCATGGGCGCGGAGCGAGGAGGAGCGGCGGCAGCTGCTGGGGGCGTTAAGTTCCAAGGTGACGGAGTCGCTGCGAGGCGCGGCCCGAGCGCGCCAGTCACGGCGTCCGGTACAAAATTCTAGGGGTCCAGCCATACCAAAAAAGAAGACAGGACGCACCTGGGTCCCAAGCACTGCTTTTTGGTTGCCGTATGAAGGCTATGTTGGAGATGGTTGAAGAAGCGGTCCAAGTTGCTGTCAGTTGTGCTTCTGTGCATCAACGAACCACTAAGTTTGGGACGACAGTTTTTTGAGCTTTGCCACACACGGGCCTTGATTCCTGAAACAAATATTTTTGAGGGTACCCCTTTTTGGGTGCCTTTTAGAGGAAAAGCCAAAGGAGAACGTTTTTTGTTTTTGGGGGATATATATATATATATATATATATATAAACCTCGACCATGTTCAAAAACCTAAAAGTTGTTTAACCCGGGTCCGCCCGCCTGCCTCCCGCGCTGCTTCAAAGCGCAGGTGGTTCCAAGAAGAAGAAGGAGGAGGCGCCGAGCATCGCCGTGGACCGGAAGTTGGCGCTGCTGAAGCTCCGGGACCTGGCGGCGAGTCGCGTGGGCAACGTGCGGGAGGCGCTATGGCAGGACGAGCAGGCGACCTTCGGGGCGTGTGGCGGGCGCTGTTTTTTCTTGGCCGTTGGCACCGTTCATGGCTGACACTGGGTTGGGTCGGCAGATATTGGCACCATTCAGGGACTTGCGGAGTTGGTGCTGGCTTCTTTTTTTTGCATGGTGCCAGATCGCTCGAATCTCGAACCCCGGAAGGGAGGACTGGAGAGTGCGCCGGAACTCCAACTCGAATCTCGCCGGCTCAAGAGCGCACGCGCAGCAATGCGCGCACACCTTTCGAATCATAAGCGCACCTGCTCAAGAGCAAGCCTCCCAAATCACAAGCACACCGGCTCAAGAGCGCACACTTAGCTCTGCGCGCAAGCTTTCCAAAGAAGCAGCATGCCGCCTTAAGAGCACCTGCCTTGAACTGCCTGCGCGCTTGCCAAAGAATAAGCGAATCCTCTCAGGATCGCACACGCCTGTCAAATGATAAGCGCACCCGCTCAAGAGCACACGCTCAGCGCTGCGCGCGCGCGCACTCTTAGCAGTGCACAAGCGCGCTCGCTGAGTTCCTTGCGCTGAGCTTTGCGGCACGCGCTCGGCACTGCACGCATGCCTGCGAGATGAGAAACGCATCTGCTCAAGAGCACCCGCTTACCGCAGCACATGCCTGCCAAATTGATCATCGCTCACCCCTGTGCACATGCCTGCTACATGACAAGCGCGCCCGCTCAAAAGCAAGCACTCAGCTTTGCACGACACGCCTGCCAAATGAGAAGCGCGCCCGATGAGGAGCTGTTGCTCAGCGCTGCGCGCACGCCCGCTAAATGATAAGAGCGCCCGAACTGGGACACTTGCAACCACGCACGCGGGGCAAACCCTTCGTCGCTGCCACACAGGATGGCTTTGCTTTTCGCCCCCCTCGGGGTTTCTTCCTATTCAGTACACGCACGCGGGGCAAACCCTTCGTCGCTGCCACACAGGATGGCTTTGCTTTTCGCCCCCCTCGGGGTTTCTTCCTATTCAGTACACTTGCGTTTGTCTCACGGACCACCCCGCCCAATGGTTTCCTTCTGGTTTCCCTTTTAAGAACAAACACCTCACTGGTCAGTTGAAATGCCCATTTGTTTTGGTACTCGACGAATTCAAAGTAGGGTCTTGCTTGTTCAACAACAAACACCTCAAAGTAGGGGGTATCCTGAAGCCAATTTATGCGTCGTGCCAAAAGTGGCATGCTGACTCATTTGCGCGCAGGTTCGAGAGAGCCTCGTGTCCTCCTTGAAAGCGTCTCTCAGTTGCAAGCAGATCGATCTTTTGACGTGCTTCTTTTTTGTTGGTTGGTTCCGTTTTTCAGGTCGAAGCTCCAAACGCACTTCCCTTTCTTTCTGTTTTTAATACAATACTAGCCATGTGATCCGGGTGTCCCCCAGTGTTTCCATTAGGGTTTTCCCGTACCTTTCCAGTTTGGAGCGAAGGTCTGAGCCCGAGCTGGCGCGAGTGCTGTCCCTGGCGGTGCTGGTGCACCTTTGTACCTGCGCTGTCAACTGCGAGCTCTTGCTGCGGGATGAAAAGGCGGGGCCAACACGAGTCGAAGCAAGCCGCTGG